CATTTACACGCAGATCGTAAAACCCCTTACTTTTTCATAGCTGTGCGATAGAGTCTCAAACCGTAACATCGACCGTTACCAAACAAAGTTTTTGTCCATCCATCGTAAAGGTACTGAGCAACTTGACTGTGTCTTGTTCATAAGCAGACGCATCTGCACCAGTGACCGGGACGAATTGTTGTCATGTAAACAAGAACTCATACAGGATGTAACAACACGTAACGCATGAACTAATGTTACATTCTGTACAACCTGTTAGAACGTAACTTTTTCAATAATTTACTGCAGGAACTCTGTGGACGCTTTGGATCAGATCGGAGCATGTTCTTTTGCCACTTCTTCCCGGGGAAGTGGACGTGAGAGCATTGATGTCCTTTTCTTAACAATCACAAAAATTGCAAAGAGAAATAGAATGCTAACCCGTACTCCCAGAGTCACCTCCAGTCCTGTTTGTACAAGCATACTATTGTCTTCGTCCGGTTGTCCCGGGGTCACCACTTGTTCCATCTGTTCATCCTTATGTTCAGGGTCCACCTGCAGCCATACAGTTATGTTGGCAGTATTGCTTTTCCACAGAGGATATATTTCTTTCCTTGCCTTAACTGTACACTGGTATGTTCTTGTATCATCAATTGTTACATTCCTAAAAACTAAAGACACATCTCTATCTTTAAAATGACGATCCCGAAGATTTACCCGGCCTTTAAAATGTGAATGCTGTAAATCCGTATCTATTTTACCAAATCGGAACACGAGAACATACTCAATTCCGAGACCAGGCGTATTCCACTCTAGAAGCGAAACGTATCCATCGTCAGGAGCTCCACACGATAGAGTCACGGTCTCCCCAGTTTTAGCTGTGATGATCTGATCGGCAGAAACGACCAGCATCTCGAGCACAAAAAGAAACACGGAGAGGAAGACGGCCATTTCACGTTTCCTTGATACAGCATAGAGTGTTTCACAACACACCAGAAAGCATGAAAACAGACTGTATTTATAGTAAATACCGGACACGTGACACGGTAAACGGAAGCATTGTGATAGCTTCGTGCTTT